CATGCCTGCTGGGGCTATAATCAAATTTCCTCTAAGGATTTACACTGGGAATGTAGAAGCCAACGTCTGCATCTATTTTCTTCTGTTGATAACTTCACTGTAGCACTACAGAAGACAGTCATTTCTCTCTGAGACTCAATACACCCCCACCCCCAATCTTACAACCTTACACAGCTAGCAGGAATCAGGTATCTAATAGACCCAAGCTGCTTCTAGTTCTATTACATTTCTTTTCTCTCAATGACAATAACTACTGCTTAAATTCTGGACAAGTTTTATGTACTATTTTGGTTAGACACCTTTAAGGCACAAGTATTAACATTTTTAAAAACTTCTGACTGAACAGTTCTTGTTCTTACACCATGAAGTGAAACTATGAAATGACATGGAACCTGAATTGGAATCCAACAATACTACAAATGCACCAATTTTTAACGAGCTTTTTTCTTTGGAGTTGAGAAATTAAGCTTGTCTAATAGTCTAACCTGCCAGAAGTAAGATTCATTTCTTTCCCTTTCATTTTAGTAGCTCTTCAAAGCAATCTAAAGCCGTCTCACATGTACCCTGTCGACAACTATAAGCAAAAATTCCAGTGCAGTGGCACAGTGGGAACAGAGCTCTGAGGACACTCACCGGCTATGGCACCAGCGAAGAGCAGGCTTCCGGGGCTAATCTGCCCGTCTTCATTGGCAAGGGAAGCCTTCACATGAGCATAGCATGGGAAGTAGATGGCCGAGAAAGGAATGTCCCGCAGAAAGCATGCTTTGGCACCCTGTACGTTTGAAAAGGAAGAAAAACCACATGAAACACATATCCCATTCAGAAGATCAAGCTTCTTTGGAACTTCCCTCAGAACAAAATATTTCTGGAGAAGACCAAATTTGTACTTAACAAGTTGAAAGGGGAACAGAAAAAAAAAAATATATAACCCAAATTCTGCAAGTAATAAATCAGAATCTTGTATTTTAAAATAAAACATTTTACTGTGTGGTATAAGCGAGAGGGGAGAGTTCTTGTTTATTCTAATGGTTAAGATTTCGATGAAAACATTTTTGGAACTCTGCCTGCCACATCCTTTTCAATCCCTAATTGATGGCAGGTCACTGGCATTTCAAGGAGGATCTGTTCTCAGAAGATGGGCAACAACAACCAAGATACCTCTGTGTTTACGCACTAGGAAGTGGACAAATTATAAAGGTGGTAGGGGAAGGGGTTTGTTTTTCATATTGTTTGAGACTCTGATGAAATTGCTGGACTCTTTACCAGAAAAAATTACACATATGTAAAAAATTAGACACCTTTTCAAGGGGTTCATGGATTCCCCCAATTTATTCATATACTTAGCCCGACTGCCCCAGGGTTTATGAAACATTGACAAATGCCTGTCCTAAAGCCTTAAAATGTTTATAATAATTCCTATAAATTTAAGAGCTCTGTGTAGAACAATTAGCAACTAGGCAAAGTCTTCACCAAATAATTTCTGGTGCCAAAATAATGCCATGGGGAGGGCTTGAAAATTGATGCATGCCCAGAAATATGATATAAAATTCTAATGAAAACCACAAGACATATACTGTGTTTTAGGTAGGCTAAACCCACCTACCTTCAGAAGCCCCCCTTTTCAACACTTAATGATTTAATACCATTTCTTTCACAGATTTCTAATGCCTAAAAATTTTCATCAAATTTAGAGATTCTTCAAGGAAAATAATGAATCCATCCAGATTCCACAGATCTAGCCAAGCCCAGTGACATTTATTGAGGTCTAGTGATGTTGGCTCTCGGGTATTTGCCTGATGCCAGCCTCCAATCTGTCAAAGTTCCTTAACACTACACATCTGTTACTGCAGCCTTTGCTTTTCTGACACCCACATTACACTCCTGACTCACACTGAGCTTGTGGGTAATAAAGCCCTTAGTCTTTTTCATATGAACCTCTATTAACCTAGGTCTACTGTAACTTAATTAGTTGTCCTAAACAAGTAACATAAGCAGGGCTTTGTGTTTAATCCTATTAAACTTCATCCTAGTTTGGCCCATCCTTCCAACCAGAACAAATGCTTGGAATCTGGATTCTGTCATGTTGGCTGTTCTTCAATCAACTCACCCTTGGATGTGTTAAGCTGCCTCTGGCCACTTTGAGTACAGATCCCCCATCACGTATGGCCAATCAGCCCACACTTCTGTTAACACCCAAACTGTTAAATGTGTAACTGAAAAGAAGAACTACAAAATTCACCACACCCGAATTCCTCATTTTATACATGTGCAAATTGATGCCCAGGACAGTTAACCTATCAATCGCAGGTTTATTAAGGGCCTTTGCTGTTGGCTTGCTTAAGGGACTTCCTTGGAGGCAGGCAGTGCCAGGGACAGGTCCAAAACTCAGGAGGCTCAAGTTTTTTCCACCTCTCCCAGTTTTCTCCAGGGGAAAAAGTACAGTATAACACCAGTATCCATGTAGCGTCCAATCCTTTCCTGATGATTAGTTTTTCAAAAAGTTATAGTCCAGGGAGTTACTGTGTAAGGGTAATACTTTCACTCATTTGTTTGTCTATTTTCACTTCCTTTTCCTTATTTTGCCTACAAACCTTCCCATAAGTTCTGTTCGCTATTTGCTCACATGCAGAGTCTGTCCAGGAGATATTCAAATTAAATACCAAATGACCAACTCATATTAAGATCAGTTAAACCTTCTCCATGTCTGGCTCCTTCAATATAGTAAAAAAAATGTGCCATATTACGGACTTACTAAACAAATCACTTTGGAGTAATTTTTAGGATGATAAAATTCCTCCTCACACAAATCTTGCTTTTAACTAAATCTTATTAGTTTTTACTATGGACCTCATCTCCCAAATTTCTGCATCTATAGAACTTCAGTCTAGATGCTCTGCTCATTTTTTTTTTTTTTTTTTTTTTTTTTTTTTTGCTGGTAATATTTTCCCTTTAACATGTTTTTCCCCCCTGATTAGAAAATATTAAGTGCCTATCACAGACAAAGTAAAGTATTAAAAATTTAAATTGCCCTTAATTTTCACCAGCAAGAGATAAACACTGCAACCACCATATATGTTTTGGAGCATCGCCTTCAACAGTAATATTATCAACCGTTCCATAGTCGGGGTCACGCTTCTGTGGTTCAGTTATGCTTTTCTTCTCCTTAAATTCATGCTATCCAGTTTTTTGGTTTTCTTTTTTGTGGGAGGGTGAGGGGGTGGTATGGTCTAACATCTCCTCAGCCATACTGCCTAAACTTCTTTTCTATATGCTGTTTTAAAAACTCCACCATCATCATGGTCTTGGCTGTCCTGTGGATTAGGCCTGGTATTGTCACCCTTGTCAAAGCTCTGTAGTGACTTCACTTCCCCATTTTCTTCTGCTGGTCAGCCTGATTCCTCTCAGGTAAAGCTACTTGATGCCCCATTCATCTGATCAATCAAGGCACACCTATCACTCTACATCGTCTTTGATGACTGCTAAGCTAGGCACATCAACCTCTTAAATACCTCTTCATTCATTTAAACCCAAACACCACCCTTCCCAAGTAAATAGAAGATAGACAAGGAGAAGATTCCACATGGCTCCGCACTGTCTACACTTTCTCAGTGCTGTATACCTGCCTACGTCAGTGTTGCCTATTTCAGAGTGTAGGCAACCAGGAGCCAGAAACTACTGTCTGATTTAATTTAGAAAACAACAAAATCTTGGGCTGTTAGGGCCTAAGACACGTTCCTGGTGACACTGATTTGGCTTTGCCAACTCCCACAGAAAACACAACTAAAGAGAGAAATGAGAGGCTTTGGGATACACTGATACGTGACCTGAAATTAGAAACATCCCTGTGACACAAGAAGAGTAAGGCCAAGTGAAATGGCAGCTGGGTTCTACCAAGAAGGAACTCTGCTTTCCTGAAATCATGACAGTAAATCATGTATCAGTGTGAGAACAGGAGCCTAATAAGAGGTGTGATATGCTTTAAGGGATGTCTGAAAACAGTTCCAGCTGACTACGAAGAAAAATGACTTGATCAAAACACAGATGAACAAACAAAGAAAGACCACATCTAAGGAAAAGGCGGAGCTACACTGTGAAACACTAAAGGAAAAATGGTCAGAAATATGCTGCATTTTTCCTACCAGGGATCAGACAATGTGCTTAAATAATTTATGCATGCTGGAGCCAAGGTGAGACTCTGTAAGACGTTTCAGGTTTCTGATTTTCTGAAAAACAGGAAGGAAAGGGAAAGTGAAGGAAGAAAGTTACCTTGTGGAATGGCCACCATCTCTGCTTCACAGAGGCAGGACCATCTAGCCAGCAAGTGAAAACATTTAGAAACTCTAATTTCCACTGAGCAAGGTATGAAGCAGCCCTGGGACCTGAGAGAGGTACCCTCCCCTCTATGGCTGTGTGGCTGTGTAATGAAAGAGCACTGGGGGAAACAGAGCTCTGAACCTTCCTCTCCTGTCAAAACGGCCAAAGGTTGCCTTCTTCGGGGCAGGGAGGGGGACAGGGGTTTAGGACTACACAAGGAAATAATTATTAAAGTCCCATGTAAAGTATCAAGTCCAGGACAAGCGTGAGGGCCGGTGGGGATGAGGAGGTCTGTGGTCCCTGCCTCTCCCGGAGCCTGCATCCTCCCACAGCCCAGCACCTGCTCAGGCATCTCCCGGCAGCACATCACTTCTCCTGAGTCATGAGGTGTCTCTCACCTCTCTCACACCCCAGGCATCAAAGCCCAGTTCCCAAGGAAAGCTAACTTTGCAAAGGGTTGAAGAAAAAGGCACAGGCTTATTAAATTTTCCTGGTCTCCCCCCCCCTCCTCCCCCGCCCCCCGCTTCCTCCAGGCCTAAGGCACAAAGGCAGGTGCCAGTTTGGCACAATGAAAAGGGAGACAGGATGTGAGAAAGGCATTTAAAGTTCCAACAGTGAGAATGTTCCCCAGATTCCTTGATAAATCCTTCACTTCTCAGTGAACACCCATCCTCCAGTCCTACATCAAAACATAAACCTGTTTGACTTGAATTCTACTTGCCCCACGTACCATTTTTACTAAGTGATCAGCCATTCTGAACAGGCAACTTTATAATAAAGGGGAACATTCCATGCTGCCCAAGAGCCTGCGTCAGCAACACAAAAAGAAGTACTTTGGCCATTAAAAAATTAATAAATGACAAAGTGTGTACCACCTAAAATAAATCTTTAAATGTTCCTCCCCTTAAGAAAAATCCCCACGTTTCCCTGCTCTAGGCAGCCCTGCCCTTGGACATTCCCTGGTTGGCCCTGAAGTTCCTTTGTACACACAGTAAAATCACTTGGGGGAAATTAATAAAAGAAAAATGCAATCATCTGATCTCTTACTCTTCGTTAAAGCACTCTTTTCCCACAAAGGGGAAATTATTATTATTCTAATAAAAGGCCCACTAATAACAGACAGGAACAATAAAAGGCATCTCAGGGGAGACCTATATGTGAATAAACTAGAATCAAAACTCAGATCTAGTTTAATTATCCACTCTGGCTCTGTTCCAATTCCATATCCCTCCAAAGTCTCTCCGTCACCATTCTAGTTAAGGTCTAGGAACTTCATTTAACTTCAGTGGTCCATGATGCACACAGGCCAATTAGGCACATTTAGAGACGCTGGCCACTGTATCGCCATGGCAAAGGAAATATCTGTTTTACTTCTCATGCTTTTTTGAATGTGGACACTACGGTGAAAGCCCAAAGGAGCTTTAATCAATTCTTAAGTTGCTGGAATCATCCACCCAA